CACGCGCATGCATGCATTTTAGTATTTGTCTGTCGTTGTCCTTGTCCTTGTCGTTGCCTTCGTGCTTGTGTTGGTGCGTGTAAGGACGCGTGAGAGAGAACAAGAAAGAAGGAAAGAAAGAAAGAAGGAGAGAGGGAGAGAGAAAACAAATGCTTGGGTTTGAAAGTGCATGCACCGCGAGCCTCTGCAGCTGTGCGCTCGCGGTCTGCGCCCGCCGGCCGGTTGCCGAGCACCTCCAGCAGCGCAGCGGCGTGCGCCCGGCTCTTGGACGAGATCCACGCAGCATCCTCTATGGCCAGGAGGCCGCAGCAAATTGCGATGGGCTGCTTCCGCCATGCGTCGTGCTCCTGCGTTCCGGCGGCATCGGCGTTCTCCTCCAGTGCGCGGTAGAGCTCGTTCGCCTGCGAGAAAGAGAGTCCACCGAAGAGCGCGGGGCACAGCACGGCATCAAAGAACTTTTTGGTGGCCGGCTCGAACTGCTCGTACAGCTCGAGCGCCCTTTCCACGCTCTCTTTCTTCATCGCGCCGCGACTCTGGCAGTAGCAGCTGTTGTACCCCACCACGATGTTCGGGCAGTCCAGTAGGCCAAAGGGGATATCGAAGCACAGCAAGGGGTAGAGAGGCATGTCGGACGTCTCTAGGATCAGCCTATTGGCCCTCTGTCGGATAGTGCCACAGAAGTAGGAGTCTTCACCACCAGTACCCCATTTGTAACCCCTGAACCTTTGCATGGCAGTCGCGAGAGCTCGCGGGTCTCCTCGAAGGGCCTCTACGGCCTTGGGGCTCAGATCTTTGGGAGCCCGGAGGAGTCGGCGCACAAGCTCACGCGCCAAGGCCTCACTCTCGTCGGAGAGGGCCTCCAGCATTGCCGGCTCCACCAGGACGAAGCCATCTTCCTCGGCCACGCTGGCCTTCAAGGTGGCAGTGATGATCGCCTCGGCATTCTGGTCATCTAGGAGCGAAATGGCCTCCTCAGGGAACCAATGCGATTTGAGCATGTCTTCGTCCAAGAACTCCACCCTGTACGTGAGCTCCTTGTTGGAGGGGTCGTGTTCGCGCACAATGCCAACTCGCCCGGACTCCCGCACAAGAGCGCGCAAGGGACGTGCAAGCTGGGAGTTCGGGCGGTGAACCACTTTCAGTGTGCGCCGCACTTTTTCGGGTGGCGGCGGTGCCGCAGCAGGCGAATACCCTGCGCCATCAACCACGTGGAAGTCGTCCACCTTGTTGTCCACGCGCCACTGCTCCAAGATAGCACTCACAAACCTAGTTCAGGGTTGGGATAATATTAGAAATTTGAAATATTATTCCTTATAGGGTTTAAGTACCCTAAAAAATGCAAAGCGGTTCCCAACTATGACAAAGAAACGGGTGCAGGCCTTCGTCAAGCCCAGTGCCAGCGTTCGACGCGTGGGCGCGGGCTCCCCAGCGATGAAACACGGTGTCACACACCTCGGGGACGAAATGAACCCCAAAATTGGGGGGGGGGGGGGGGTCATGTACCCTATGCTACTATAAACCCCATTATAAGGTATATGAACCATAAACCCTTGGTCATATATATATATATATATATCCTATACTACTCTTAAACCCTCTAAAGGAATATGAACCCTAAACCCTTTTAAGGTTCACATTCTGCTCCAAGGCTCTGAGAGGGACGTGCCACTGCGGCCATCGCAGACTTTGGTGGGGAAATTCTGTGGCTCGCCGCCCTGGAGAGAAGGATGATTGTGGAAGCTGGCCCTGAGGAGGTAGTAGGCCTGCAGGTATATGTGTCGGGCTTTCATGGGGATGGTCGTAGTATATTCATATGGCTTTAAAATCGGTACTATACTAAGGGATGCTTCGGGATCCTCTCGGTATGGGGACTAAGAATGAGGGGATAATCCTAGTATTGTTTTTTACAAGCACCTGCAGGTACTTGTTCGTCTGTTGGTGCCAGGGCCGCGGACCAGTGCCAATCGCGTCGCCCACAGCCTGCTTCAGCAACTCAACGTCCGCCAAGTCCTTGGGACCCAAACTAAGAATCATCTACAAGGTGTAACTATCATCCCTGCTAAGGTATATGACAATGAGCCATAAAACCCTTTCAGACTTCATTTCCCCCCCAAGGATCTTGCTTCTTTCCCCACACGCTGGCTGCGACGCGCACGTGGTTCCTTATTACCTGCCGCAGCTTCTGCAGGGTCGACTTCTTCAGTCCAATTTTGGCCCAAGGCTTGTCGCCCTCCGTGCTCAGCAGAGGGAACACCTCTTCCAGAGAGTCAGCTCGCCCAAGCTCGTCCAATGAGCCTACTTCGGAGTAGACCCTGGGAAACAAGTAGACACTTTGTTTAGGTATAAGGTAGCGATACTAGAAACCCAGAACCAAAAAACGTACTAAAGTATAGTACTCCCAAACTCAGCCAATGAGCCTACGCACACCAGCCGGTAGGTGGTCCGACCGCACTTGGTCGAGGATGGCTGTCCGTCGCCTGACGGTTCCTGGGTTCTGCTAAGGATATTTCCCAAACAGTGTCGACGCTAAGGGCTCTCGCGTTCACGGTAAGGAGATTAGATTGCATGCTAGCACATGGCTTTTGGGCTAGCCGGGACGTAGGAACCTAGGTATAACCTCTCGTAACCTGGCGTAACTGTTTGTAACATTCCTTCAGGGTATAAGGTGGTAAGGAAAAGTTACACAAGCTAGGACAAGTTAGGGACTTTTCATATTTGTTTATGACTGTTGTTTTTGTTTAACATTTTTGTATCGTGTCAGAACGGTTTTTGGTTTTTAAGTTGTTTTGTTTCGTTTGTTTCGGTAATCGACGATTGCAGTTTTGGCTTCTGTCAGTCGATATTTTTGCCTGCACAAACACGAAAAACCCTAAACACCCGAAAATACCCAAACCCTTAAAAGCCTAAACCCTAAAAGCCGTAAACCCTAAAACAACCTAATTATTTTACTTCGAACATCCCCACCCTCTCTTGGTAGAGATACTCTGGGGTTGGGCACTCCAGGGACACTCTGGGGCTGGACACTCTGGGGACGTTCTGGGGTTGGGCACTCCAGGGAGAGTCTGCGGTTGGGGGGCACTCCAGAAAGACTCTGGAGTTGGGCCCTGTAGGGAGACTCTGAAACTGGGGGCACTCCGGGGAAATTCTGGGGTTGGGCACTCCAGGGCAGACTCTAGGTTGGGCACTCCAGAGAGACTCTGGGGTTGGGCACTCCAGGAGAGTCTGGGTTTGGGCACTCAGGGACACGGAGTAGATCGGGCGAGGAGAAGAGTTCCGAGGAGAAGAGTTGAAGTTAAATTCTAACAACCCCACACCGAGGGTGGGGAAAAACCCTAGGGCCCTAGAGCCCTAAACATCCTAAACAGCCTTAAACACCCCAGGAACCTAAAAGCCTAAACACCCTAAACACCCTAAAAGACCCTGAACACCCTGAAAGACCCTAAGCCCTAAAGCCTTCAACCCTGAAAACCCTTAACCCTCAAGCTGTTCTTGTGTGCGTTGGGGGAGTGATTAAGGTTGAGGGGTCGGGGTTGCCGTGGCGTGTTGGGGGTTTATGGGGGGGGGGGGGGGCTTAGGCTTTAGGATTTGGGGTTTAGGGTTTAAGCTTTGGAGCTTTAGGGTTTGGGGTTTAGGGTTTAGTTTTAGGCTTTGGGTCAGGTGTTTAGAGTTTGGGGTTTAGGTTTAGGGTTTAGGCTTTGGGGTTTTAGGGGTTTGGTGTTTTTGACTTGGGTTAAGGGTTTAAGCTTTCGAGGTGGAGGGTTTGGGTTTTCGGGTTTTGGGGCGAACCCCCTGAAACACTCAACCCTAAACTCCTCACACCCTCAACCCTAAACCTCAAACACTCAACCCGCAACTCCAAAAACCCTCAACCCCAAACCAAGCCAACCCCAAACTTGAAACCGTTAACCCTAAACTCGTATAAGCATCCCTAAACTACAATCCTGAAACCACAAAACTGGAAACACCCTTAACTCCTCAAACCCTAACCCGCAAACCCTAAGACCAGGCTGGCTACGTCCTGTTAAGGGTTTAGGGTTTGGGGTTTATGGCATTTGCACTTTAGAGTTTAGGGTTCGCAGGGTTTAGGGTGTGGGGTCTAGAGTTTAAGAATGGGTCTGGGTCTTGGGTGTTTGGGTTGAGGTCTGTGTGCGGTTTAGAAGTAGGCGCTTCAAAAAACGCCAACCCCAAAACCTAAACCCCTGACTGTATTCCTGTATTGATGAAAAGCCAATGTGCGTTTCGTTTTTTCGTTCTGTGTTGTATTTTCAGTATTTTCGTGTTCATTTTTTGTAATTAACGTTTTGTAACCTCAATGCTAGCTTTCTTTAAGTTCTGCAAAACCTGCTTATAACCAAACAACCTCTGCTAACCCCAAACCCATATGTTAGTGGCCGCCGCGGCGCCCCTGCATACACGGGCGCTCTCGTCTAGGTCCACGGATTTCTCGGGGCTCTGACACATCGAAAAATTTGCATGCTTGTTGCTTCGTGGATATTGTCGCATCGCCCTCTCGCCTAGAACCCGTGCGCATTTTGTGGCAGTGGTGATTACGGGTGGAAATCGTGCTCCCGCCTAGGCCCCGTGCACTTCTGACTTCTTGAGGGTTGCATTGATCCGCGCCCTGAAAACGTGGCAGGCACGTGGTTTCCGGCATGCTGGGCCGTTGGATGCGTTCGCTTCGCGTGGCCACGCTATGGCGAATTGCAACTCGCGATGATATCGCGCTCTCGCCTAGGCGCCGTGCACATCCACATCGCCATCCTCGTGCGGCGTCGTCGCTTTTGGGACGTCCGTCTTCCCGACATGCGAAGCTGTCGTCGCTTTTGGACGGCGGGTCTCACGAAACGCAGTATGCCGCTGACTTCCGGAGTGTTCTTGGTGAGCTGTTAAGGTGCTCTTGGAGTTGTCTTGATTCTCTCCAGTCCCCCTGGCACATGCTCTTCGTGTCCCCCATGTAGTCGCTGTTTGGGGTCTGCACTGGCAGAATCAGTCTGAAGTTCTCACAGTAAGGCGATTTTATGTGTTTTTATACAACCTAACCTTCTATTCTGGTAGCCGAAACTTCTTGTTTTAGGTAGTTCCATGCGTAACAACAGCCCAGGTTCATGCACCACAGAGGCCGGCGCTGGGCCCTGGGGTAGCTCTGGCGCGTCCGCTGGCAAGCAGGACTCGTTGACATAGAGCCTCAGTAGCCCTTGCTCCGAGTCCCCTTGCAACAGCGCGCGGTAGCAGAAGGCCTCCTTGGGAACGCGGCCGAAGACCATGAATCCATCCAAGGCTCGCAGCACCCCACGTTGCAACTCCCAGGGCTTGAAAGCCGAGCCCTTGTCACCGAGCTCCACTGGTGCTGCTTTTGCTTTACGTGACCGACGCCGACACTCATTGGCTGCCGCGACATCTAAGCCCCTTCGCCACTGCCTATCAAAGCGGCTTGACCACATCTCTTCAAGGGCATCTGGATCCTCGGCAGCGGACATGCCCGTGTTGCGGAGCTTGGTGCGGATTCGCATCTCGGGGTTCATGGTGATGGCCTCGGCATTCTGGTACCCCACTCCCAGCAGCGTATTGTCGCTGGGATAGCCTCCACAACCCAGCAGCTTGTGTGCCACGGCTGCCGCCGTGTGGATGGGCATGGTGCCGCCGTTTGGGCCGCTGCGCAGCAGCTCTTGGGCACTGGTCTTCCCTGCCAGGAAGAGCGCCACCGGGCTCTGTGATCGCAGCACCTGCCCGTGGGCCACCAGCCCAGACGGTATGCCAACATGGTGATCGGCATCTGCAAAGAGGAAACTCCGCGAATGGCCAGAAACCACAAAGTCGTCCATTGCTACCGCAGGCATCGCCCTCCTGAATTTGAAAACCGAGGACACCGGACCCTTCGCAGTTTGATCCGGCTAGCTGGGCAGCGGGAGGGCCAATATGCAGAGCTCCAGAACAGATCCCGCGGCAAGTTCCGCAGTCTTGTTTCGGGCGGGATTCCAAACTCTGAGCCCTAAACCCTAAACCCTAAACCCTATATTAAACCCTAAACCCTAAACCCTATATTGAACCCTAAGTTAAGCCCTAAAAGCCCAAACCCTAAACCCTGAAGCCTAAGCCTTAAAACTTGAATCCAGAACAAAATTCCTCCTCTCTCCTGTTTCTTATAACCAGATTAGGGCACTTAAGGGGCTTATAAATGGGTTACAAGTACAGGGTTTCGTCTGTGGCTGGGGGTGTTTAGGCTTGTTGGTTTGGATTCAGCAGTTCTGCGATACTACATGATGATGGCCCTTAAAATCCTCTGAAAAAATATTGGTGAATGATATCCTCTTGAACCCAATAAAGGGAAAAGAAACACAAGTCCCAAGGGCCCACCTAGTACAGCCTAGTACAGGCTTGAAGGGTTAGGGTTTAGGGTTTAGGGTTTAGGGTTTAGGGTTTCGGATTTAGGGTTTAGGGTTCACGGTTCAGGGTTTAGGGTTTGCGGAACGTCCCTCAGTTGCTGTTGGAAGCCTGTGCCGTCCCCGCCGAGCTTCCAGTCGCCCCATGCAGCAGCGCATCCATCACCGAAAATGGCTGCCCCAACTCTCTGCTGAACATAGGTCTATTTTGTATATATGTTATATTGTAACATATATATATATGTATACTTTATATGTATGTATTCAGTTATTTACACATTATATAATGGCAGATCACCGCAATATTCGGTGCTGAACTTATCGGAGTAGGGCCTGCTTGGGTATCGGGTTTCAGGCTTGTTGCCGCCCCCCATCATGGCCCGACGTCCCTGACAAGCCAATGTTCTCGCACCTTCTAGGCTCGAGATTCACTGCTGCATCCAGTGAAATGAAGGTTTCCTCGAGCTTTGGTAGACCGAGGGGATCTAAAGTTTCTAAAGTTTCGGGCTATGGGATGCTTTCTGCTCAGGGCTCCCCCGCTTTCCCGCGACGACGTAAGGAAGTGCAAAAGGCCCCAGCTCAAGGTCTTGCAGGCTCACAGAACTCCCTTTGAGCCCCTCTGTTTTTCTTCCTCGACCTTGGGTCAAAGTGGGTGCGCAGAGCTCTGCCAGTTTGCAGACGGTGCAGGGGGCAGTCAGAGGCGCTTTAAGCAGCAGTGTAGGGTTTCAAGGGGCTTCAGTGGGCCCCTAAATCCTAAACCCTAAACCCTGAACCCTAAACCCTAAACCTTGGAGGCTTCCAGTTGGAGGGAGCAGTATCCCTTTGCAGGTGTGCCCCCTGCAGCTTTCCCACCCTAGAAGCCCCTGCTAAGGGGCCCGAATTCCTTGCCCAGCTGTGGCTGGACTCCCTGAAGCTGGGACACCTATGGACGACTTCTGGAAAGAAAGTTTCAAGCTTCTGCTGGAGGTTCTTGTCCGGACTGCCATGATGAAGGGTCATGTTAAAGGTAAGGTTTAGCGTTTTTTGGGGGCGTTGTTAGGACTTAGAAGGAACCGAAACAAGCAGCTGCAAGGCCCCCCCAGCAAAAACCCCAAACCCTAAACCCTAAACCCTAAACCCTAAACCCTAAACCCTAAACCCTAAACCCTAAACCCTAAAACCCCTGCAAAACGCGTCCCCAAGCTTCAACTCACGGGTTCCAGGCACCCGTGGGGCAGCCCTGACAGCGGTAGCCTCGAAATGGTGGAGACCGAACCCCACTGCGCAGCCCTAAGGGTTTAGGGTTTAGGGTTTAGGGTTTAGGGTGAGGGTTGAGTAAAGGGCTTAGGGCCCGCTTGATAGAGCGTCGCAAGGATCTTGGGCAAGGGCCTGTGTAGGATAGGGCCGAAGAGCTGATGGTTCAGGGGTGCGGGGTACAAGAGACCCTGGCTAGACACAGGGTCGACGAGACCATAAGGCTCAGGTTTCTAAACCTGCCGTTCGAGCTGGACGTCGGTAGGTGGGTAGTTTGGCATCGCAAAAGCCCATGGACCTAAACTTTACAAGGCTCTCAAACCCCTAGTTGTTGAAGCCCTATAGCCTCTAGCCTCCCCCTTTTCTGGAGGAACACAGTTGCCAAATCCTGAAACCACACAGTAATCACTCTTGGGCTCTTTGGTTCCCCAACAACCCAGGAATGAAAAAGGGGGGTCCTCCTCTCTTAATGGTACCGCTGGCGGTCACTCCGGCATTTCGCCCGGACGTGCCATTGACATTGGGGGTCACCCACGGGCCCGACGGAAGACGGCAATCATTGGCATTTCTGGTCCCCCTGCCTTTGCAGTCAGGCCAGTCGTTGGTAAAACCAGGCTTTTTTCTTGGGGACCATGGTGAGTGAGTCGACTGCCTTCGATACAACTGCAACTACCGCTACCGCCACCGCTACCACTGCCACTCCGACGACGACGAACACTATGTACCACTTCTACTACTTCTTCTACAGCTTCTACTGAAGAGCTTTTTGCTGCACCCCAACCCCATACTCGAAATTAGGATCCCAGTTTAGGATACCTATTCTAGCACGGACCCTTGTACTTCTGCTACCCCCAAAGAGACCCTAACTCAATCCTGTGCTTCGGGTTGTGCGTGCTTGGGGCGTAAAACTCAGACCTCCTGGATTCCTTGAAGCTCTACATATTCCGAAGGCTTCCACGTTAGGTAGTAAGGGCTCTTCGCGGGCTCAGGGGCTAGCATAGCTTGAGGTTTTTTGGACTGGGGGAGATCCTTTCTTGGCTTGCTCTCTGTGGGGTCCACGAAACTGAACTTGGCATCCTAGCAAAACTACAACTTTAGCTGCTCCTTAGGGTTTATAGTAACAAAAAACTACAAATTATTTCCAAGTACCCCTGAGTCCTAAACCCTAAACCCCAAACCCCAAACCCTAAACCCTAAACCCTAAACCCTAAACCCCTAAGTCTGGCTGAGCCTAGCTTGCTTTCCGCAGCGTCAGCTCAGGCCACGGGTGGCGTTGTGAAGACCTCGGCACCAGCAGCCCAAACGCTGACACTGGAAACCCGAAACCCCCTTTTTAACAGGGGGCCTGAAGAAGTGGAACAGGGTTTTGGGGGGTTTTTAAGGGACCCTGAGGGAACACTAGCCCCTAATGTAGGAGGCCTGAAGAAGTGGATCAGGGTTTTGGGGATTCTTGATAAGGGACCCTAAGGGAATACTATTAGTCATTATTATAGGCATCCTCAAGCCCAACTAAGGCCCCTCACACCCCGCAAACGTCTAGAGGCGGGTGAACTTTACAGCCCTAAGTCAGTCTTAAATCTATGAGCCCAAAGCCCAAACCCCTGAACCCTTGCACCCTGAGCACGAACGACATGGGGTTGTATAAAAACCCCGCGATAAATCTATTAATCCGTTCTAGGGTTATCGTTTTTTCTTCTTGGTTATCGTTTGACAGGGTTTTGTGGAACAACCTACAACTTCATGCCTTAGAACCGATAATTTCGTTGATTGTAGTACAAGCTTAGTACTGGAACCGCCGTCCCTGTGAGCTGGCTGGATTTTCGTTGATTTGTAGTACAAGCTTAGTACTGGAACCGCCGTCCCCGTGAGCCGGCTGGATTTTCGTTGATTTGTAGTACAAGCTTAGTACTGGAACCGCAGTCCCCGTGAGACGGCGGGATTTTCATTGATTTGTAGTACAAGCTTGGTACTGGAACCGCCGTCCCCGTGAGACGGCGGGATTTTCATTGATTTGTAGTACAAGCTTAGTACTGGAACCGCCGTCCCCGTGAGCCGGCTGGATTTTCGTTGATTTGTAGTACAAGCTTAGTACTGGAACCGCAGTCCCCGTGAGACGGCGGGATTTTCATTGATTTGTAGTACAAGCTTGGTACTGGAACCGCCGTCCCCGTGAGACGGCGGGATTTTCATTGATTTGTAGTACAAGCTTAGTACTGGAACCGCCGTCCCCGTGAGCCGACAGGATTTTCGTTGATTTGTAGTACAAGCTTAGTACTGGAACCGCCGTCCCCGTGAGCCGGCTGGATTTTCGTTGATTTGTAGTACAAGCTTAGTACTGGAACCGCCGTCCCCGTGAACCGGATGGATTTTCGTTGATTTGTAGTACAAGATTAGTACTGGAACCGCCGTCCCTGTGAGCCGGCTGGATTTTCGTTGATTTGTAGTACAAGCTTAGTACTGGTGTCGCCTGCCTGCCGCGATGCAGCAATCAGGCCGTTTTATAACGCTATCGTTTTTTATTCTTGATTCTCGTTTTACGAGTCAGGGGCACTGCCCCAAACGCTTAGGGCAGCTCCTTTCATAAATTGAATGCGCGGGGTTTTTATACAACCCCACATGAACGTAAACACCTTCTCCGAAACCACCCCTGAGTACCATTGACGAACTACGGAGCACAGGCCTCCCACAACACAGAGACAGACACCTATGCATACACACACACACACACACACACACACACGCACACACACAAAATAGAAAATGAGAAACACACACACACAAAACAAGCTGCCGTCTATGGCTTGGGGCTTTGCGCTTTCAGGTTGGGGTATTGGGGGTTGCCGGGATTTAGGACCCTAAGCCCTAAGCCCTAAACCCTAAACCCCCCCTCTTCGACACTCTTGTGGCAAGGAGCCGGGGTGGTAGAGCTACAGCAAAAGAGGGAGCCCATGTTCATCCGGTGGTCCTGCGAAGGACTAGGATGGCCCTTATCAGACCCTCTGAACAAAAATTGTCCGCCATATGGTCCTCTTAAGCCCAATAACGGAAAATTGTAAAACATCCCAAGGGCCTAGGGTTTAGGGTTTAGGGTTTAGGGTTGCCTACCTGGAGAAGCTCAGGCTTGTGCATCTCAAAGTCAACCCTTGGGCGTGGGATTTCGTGTGATCTATGGCCAGCGGCTTCGGAAGACTGGCCTGAAGATGCACTTCGTCCACACATTCCTAAGGACCCTGAAAAGTAGAGCTTGGTCCCCAAAGCCGTCTAGGAACTGAACCTCAATCCCCTAAGCATCAAAACAACAGAAGGCGAAAACAAAACCAGCAAACTGCACCAAGTTTGCGATTCTGGCGGGTCGGGTGGTCACCAAATGGAACTTCACCCGTCTGGAGCTATCCCCACCCCACCCCTTTGGACCAAAAATCCAAGATCTGATGGCAACACATCGGAAGCCCTTCTAGTTCCAGTTTTGGGGATCACTTGGAGTATTTGGGCATTCCAAGCCCAGACTTACTGTTGGTGAGTAGGGAATGCGGGAAGGAGGTGCCCTACATCCCCCCTATATATATATATATACATATACATACCCTTTAAGGGATTATAACAGGGTACCCCATTCCTTCATTCCCTACTAACCAACAGACCAACACCAAGTAAAGCTAATTAGACCCTAAACCCTAAACCCTAACCCTAAACCCTAAACCCTAAACCCTAAACCCTAAACCCTAAACCCTAAACCCTAAACCCTACTAACCAACAATAAGTAAAGCAGTCTCCTGCCAGTCGATGTGTGGCTTGGTGTTGCGGACGTCTGTGGCAGTGATGATGATGCCTGTCTCCTCCAGAACTCTCCGCTTGAAGCTGTTGAAACAAAACAGCCCTCAAGGGTTTAGGGTTTAGGGTTTGGGGTTTAGGGTTTAGGGTTTAGGGTCTGGGGTTTAGGGTTTAGGGTTTAGGGACAGCCCTCAAGGCATAGGAAGGCTTGGAAGCCTTGGGGTGGGTTCTCCAAGCCGCAGCGAGGCCCACGGAGGCAAAGCGCTGTAGAAACCCTAAATGTCTTCAGTCTCCGAGGGGCTTTTGGCGACCGACTCGAAACTTCGAAGCCCTAACCGGCCTCCCCCTCACCCACCCCCCCCCCCTCCCTCACCCCTCTCTTCCCCCGGGAAGAAGATTACTCTAAGTCTCCGAAGCCCTAAAGCCTGGAAAGAGCCCAGCGACCTTGGCAACTGTAGTAGCATCTCCTAAACCCTAAACCCTAAACCCTCAACCCTCAACCCTCAACCCTAAACCCTAAACCCGACACCCTGCATGATTCGGGCCGGTTCAGGATGAGGAACTCCTACCGAATCCAAGCTTGTTCTTCCAGCACCCCTCCTCGATCACGCCATCAAACATGACCTCCAAGATCTTCAGCGTCTGGTTGACCTTCAGCACACTCTGCTCACCCACCCTGTGCTTGGGGACTCCTTGTCCCTTGCGACAAGACAAATGCCCAATAGAAGGCCACAAGCCCTGAACCCCAAACTCGCAAGTCTCCTAAGCCCGAACAAACTCAGACCCCCGAACCCTCCGAACCACTTGAAAGCCCTTCAACAGTGCAGCCGAAAGTCGATCAACTCGCCATGGACCGCGCAGTAGGTCTCGAAGTCCTCATGGAGGGGGCTTCGATGTTTCTGGGCTCTGTGAGCCCCCCCCAAAAGGGCAAAAAGCCAGAAGCACCTGAGGCCTCATAAACTCATCAACCCCATAAAGCCCGATAGAGCCCGAACATAGTGGCCTCAATTATTCGAATAGGGTCTTGGGGGCTACTGCAGTATAATTCAAAAGGGACCACGAGGGAATACCACTAGTAATTATCCCGACCCCTAGATCCCTGAATTTTCTTGAAGCCGAACATCATCAGCCGCATGCCTTCGGGGTTGGAGCTTCGGGGGATTGGCACTTAGGCCCTTCGGGATGTTGGGGCAGTGGATGCTCGAATTCCCATTGTATTCTTTAGGGCAATTTGGGGCTTACAAAGGGCTTGAAGTTAAAAGGTTGCTTCGGGGCTCTTATTGCCAGTATTCTTGCTGCTGCTCAAGATTTTTTGTTAGCCCCGCGCTTCAGAAGATTCAAAGGGGGGGGACCCAAATATCAACTCACCATTTCCCCCTGCGAAAGCCGGGGTGTCTCAAAATCCGATAAGCTTCCGACTTGCGTCCTGCTGCCCACGAGGGCCGTCTCATGTGGGGCTTTTGGGGATTTGAAGTTAAAGCCTGGAGCCCTAGAGGTCTCCAAAAACGTCCTCATAGTTGATCCGGCCATCGGCATCCTCATCGCAGATGTTGAAGAACTGCATGTACCTGGTGGGCTTTTACAGTAGGGCATCGGGCTGTGCACCGCCCGAGCTTCTCAGCAAGCCCCAAGAGCCTATAACGCTGAGCACTAAACCCTAAACCCTAAACCCTAAACCCTAAACACCCTTGAACCCCGAAAGCTGAAAGCTGGGGTCTGCAGGCTGCGGAGGCTTTCGAGGGTCAGCCGGGGCTTCCAGAGGGCTTTCAGAGTCTTAGGGTTTCCCTCATGGCTGTTTTCATATCCCAAGGGTCCGTGCACCTCGTTATGATATCCTTGGGCCTCAAAGTCCCTACGTAGGAAGTACTTGAAGGCCGAAGTCTTCCCTATTTAAGCACATGGACACTTAGGGAGAAGTGCCCTGAGAGGGCCATGCACTGTCCAGCGCCATCGGTCTCGGATATCTGTTGCAACTATCACAAAAGTATAATTTTGGATCCATGGCGCACTCATGCAGCAAAGACACCATGGCGTCTTTGCCCCAAACCTGGGCCCTTTCGAACCCTGAACCCTGAACCCTGAATCCTAAACCTTAAACCCTAAACCTTAAACCCCCAAAACGCTAATCCGGGGAACGAGCCAGGAGCATTACAGTTGCAGGCTTTGGGGCCAACCTCCATCAAGGCATCCTCGGCCCTCGCACCCTGGGTCCCCAAACCCTACATTTTAGGGTTTAGGGTTTGTAGGGTTTAGGGTTTAGGGTTTAGGGTTTAGGATTTAGGGTTTAGGGTTTAGGGTTTTGGGGCTGAACTTCTGAGTTAATTCCCTGCAAGCTCCAGCCGAATCTTCGGGCCCGGACTCGTCAGGAGCCGATTCGGCACCAGCTGCGACCTCGGAGCGCAGGGTTGGAGAAAAATGTTTGGGGTGTTTGGGTTGGGCTCCGCCTTGCAGTCTTCATCGTGAACAGGTGCAGAAATTAAATGACCGACGCCAACCCCACCCCCCCGCCCTCCCCAAACGCGCCCCTAAGGCCGAAACCTCGCATCTCACGTAGATGCAGACACTTCAACACCCATGATTCAAGGAATACTCTCGCTCAAACCCACATTAGGATCACTATATAGTCGAAGCAATTTAAGGAATGGTCCTAAATTAAACGGGTGGAAACTTCTAGGAAAACAAAGGCCTCCCTCCACGTCTGAATCCTTAAAGTTCCTTTTGAACTTGTTCGCTCTTCAACGTTCGCGAAAAACGTGGCAGGGACATGCGCGGACGCTGTTGGGCCTTGGATCGTGCCCTGCAACAACATGGTCGTCGCGAGAACGAGGCGGCCGCTTTCCACTCATTTGCAACAGGATGATCCAGGCAGGCGTAGCAAAAACAACTTTTGCATTTGGGAGGGGGGCGAGGGTGGGCACAGCCTGCCACACATACAGCAGAGGGTTCTGCGCACGCACAGGACTCCAGTGAGGCCAGTGCCTTGGTCCAACCGACTTCCAACCCTGCGAAGTCACAAGTCGATCCCGGCAGCGACAAGTCTATGCAGTCGATCGCTCTTGGTCCAGTCTTGAGCCACATGCGGCTCCTGGGCCTTTCTGCCGCAAGCGGAGCTCGCTCTAAACGCGGCCTGAGCCCAGCTGGGACTACAAACCTGCACCCCCAGGCTTTGAACAATACTACTTCATAACCCACAACACTGCAAAGACACGGTGTAAGGGTTCCGGGGCTTCTGCAGGGCCTTCTTGGGCTCAAGCCTTCCAGTGCATTAAGGCCCCTCTGAACCTGAAGATGTTGGCCCCCCCCCCCCCCCGAAGCAGCTGCTTGGGCGTGGACGCTGGACGAGGTCTGCCACGAAGGCCGCCTGTGTTTGGATGGTTTAGGGGTTTAGGGGTTTAGAAGGGTTTAGGGGTTTAGGGGTTGAGGGGTTTAGGGGTTTAGGGGTTTAGGGGGGGTTCAACCCTGATGAACTCCAACTCCCCCTAAACCGCAAACACAAAACAAACATCCGCAGGAGCTTCAAGATCCCGAACCCCGAAGCTTTCAAGCCAAACAGACCCGAAACCACCGAGGTCCCAAACTCGAGATCCTAAGACGCAGTGTGGGCTGGGCGTTGAGGGCTTGGTAGGGTTGAGGGTTGAGGGTTGAGGGTTTAAGGGCTTCTTTGCATATGAATTAGGGCGCGTACTCCTCTAACCGACTGCAAATGGGAAATGGGTTGAAGGTGTTTCGGTGGCTCTGAACATCTCAGGCGAGGTCGTGGCTTCAGTGCATGACTTTAAGGCTCGAGGGAGTGCAACTCTCTGTCTTGGCTACAGGGCTAGTTTAGGGCTTAGGGTTTAGAGGACGGCCCAGGCCACAGCAAGGAGCGGGGTATGACATCATGACTTCCAGACGTGTGCGAGTTTCTTTGTGGACGGGCGGAATCGCCTTCCGCAACCATGTCAGGCTGGGAATCCTACACCCTCAGCCCACCCCCACCTCCTTAAGCTCTTGCACTCATGAGTGCCAGAGAAGCACCCTAACGATGAATACGAGAGACTCGATTGGTTGGTTTGTATACGTTGGGATGTTCCCCCTTATACTAACGGTCCTTAATGCCTATTAAGGACTGTTCGTACAAGGGGGAACATTCCAATGTATGCGCATCTCCACCTCTCGCTTGTCTATGTCTGTCCGACCTAAACTGCCCAAAAACAAGACCACCGCGAAGAGAGCCCATAATCACCCTAACCCCAAACAAAAACTCGAAAGGGGCACCATACCAAAGAAAAGCCCTAAACCCCAAACCCTAAATCCTAAACCCCAAACCTCTAAATCCCAAACCTCTAAACCTCCTAAGCCCGAAAGCAAAAACCACCAGATCGAAAGAGAACCTGCCAATTGTGTCCCTCAGCCTCAGGGCTCTATATTAGGAGTCCCTTATCCTAAACCCTAAACCCTAAACCCTCAACCCTAAACCCTAAACCCTAAACCACCAGATTGAAAAAGAAGCCTCAGGGCTGCAATCTTCGTCTCCAGGATGCCGCGGAAGTCTCCCTGGAGGGTTTAGGGTTTAGGGTTTAGGGTTTAGGATTTAGGGCTATTGGGGTTCAGGGTGCTGCAGAACCATAAAACCCGAACCCAAAAAATGCCCTATCCGTCCACCCAAGCCTAAAAGCCTCCAACCGTCAACCCTAAACCACTCCTAACTCTAGGGCTGGGCTTACACACTGCTTATGTAGGGGTTTACGACAATCAGGGACCCCTACTACAAACCCCAAAACAGTACAATTTCCTTATAATCAGGACCCCCAAAAGGGGTACCCCCTGATTTCGCAGAGCCTTAAACCCTAAACCCTAAACCCTAAACCCTAAACCCTAAACCCTAAACCCTAAACCCTAAACCCTAAACCCTAGACCCCCCCATGTAGTTCTGCCCGGAGTCATGGCCTTCTCTGCGTAGCCGTCCTGGTTCGAGTCGAATAATCTGAAGCAAAGCCGTCGCTTGGCCTCCCAAAGGCTGGGGAAATTTAGGGTTTAGGGTTTAGGGTTTAGGGTTCAGGGTTTAGGGTTTAAGGTTTAGGGTTGAGGGCTCAAGGATATGGTTGATGAGATATAGCTCCTGTCCCTGTACTTCTGTCGACTTCTGTCGCCTTCACTCTCAGGTCTTTGCGAGGACACCCCAAGCACAGAAGCATCTGGGAAGGTGTGGTTTCAGTGGTAAACCTCAGCTTTGGCCACAATCAGGCATTTTTCCAATGCCAACCGGAAGTAGAGAACACTTGTGCCAAAGTGCAAAACCTTTGTCATCTCCGGAGTCTCCACTCCAATCCCAAAACACCACTTGAAACCCAACTAGCTTGGCTTCTTCTGGATTCCTCAACCCCTAAGATAAGGACCCATTCTTGTCATGCGACAGTCCTTGGGCATGGGGTCCATATTCTTGGGGGGCTGGGCAACCATATCAACAATACGCCCTTGGTCCTCACCCCCTGATGCCGCGGAGATCTTATCTCTTCCCAGGTCCCCGTTGGCCCCTTAAAACCCTAAAACCCTAAACCCTATATCCCCTAAACCCTAAACCCCGAACCCCAAACCCTATCCCCTAAACCCTGGACCCTAAACTTGGGGCGGGGCGGGGCTACTATGACAGACATGCTCACGGCTCCGTGCCGGTGACGGGGCCTATAACAGAGACTGTCACGTGTCGCAGAGCTGCAATGGAGCCGGAGGGCTGCCACGAAGCGCTGCCGGCTCTAGCGGTGCTGTAGCACAAGCTGTAACGGAGCTGTAATGGAGGGCCCGCCGGGGGTAGCGCAAATCCCCATAGCAAGTGATGGTAGAGGCCAGCCCCAACCCGAAACCCCACACCCCCTAAACCCTAAACATCCCTCAACCCTCTAACACCTGAACCCTGGACCTTTTTTGGCCTCCATCCCACCGCGCTTCAGCTGCGTGACGAACGTCAGGAACTCCTGCTGCCCCGGGCCAGGTGCACAGTTGGGTTTAGGGTTCATTGCTTAAGGCTTTCGGGTTCATGGTTTACGGTTCAAGGTTTTAAGGGATCAGGGTTTAGGGTCTCGGTTTTTCGGGTTAGGGGTTCAGGGTTTAAGGCTTTAAGGGTTTAAAAGGGATTAGGCTTTAGTGGAGGTTAAGGGCTCTGGCTCGGGCTCATGGAGCTTCAGCTTTGCGCTTGGGGCTTGTTGCGTCTAGGGTTCAAGAACGCAACGCACCACGATTCTCATGGTGGCAGCGTTTCGGGCCGCGCGGCGTCTGGGCATCCCATGGTTAGTGAAGGACAGTTAGTGAGACCCGACCTCACAGGCAAGCCAGCATCGGATAAATCTAGCTGTTGCATCTCCAAAGCGACGAGATCAGCGCGTCTAGGTGCAAACCACCACCAGCAACCCCGCGGCGGAGCGCGCTCGAAAGCACTCAGCGCACAAAGGGCAACCAAAGTCGAGGCTTTATGTACACAACGGCTGTGGACAGTGCGTGACACTGGCTGCCCAGAGAGAGTCGGTGCTGGCAGATAGAGGTGGAGCACCAGCGACATCGCGCCACCCTCGGCAATGCGGACGTCGA